TCATGTTTACAAAACCCTTTATAGCAGCACTGTAAGCAACAAAAAAATATTTAAACCTCATATTATTGTCCCACTTCAAAGTCGTCTTGCTACCTTGGTTTGTCAATCAATCCTATAACTGTACGATTCTAGTATTGCATACCCATGCTCTGGCATGCCCCTCACAAAATCTTGTGCATGTTGTCTCCCTTTCCAGCATTTCCAGTAACTAACATCACATCCCAATATGCGTACATATCTCTGAATGTCCTTAGGAGATAGACCCTTCCCTTCAACAAACTGACTTTTGACAAATTGTCTAATAACATCAGCGAAGGCTTGTTAATGCTCACTTGAAATATGTCCCAACCCACCCATAAGTGTGTTCACGTGTATATGTGCTAAAAATAAATTTTTCAGACTCTAGCAACCTTCTACAATAAACCCGCCACTTGCACTTTCGGTCACAACATGCAACCGTCACTACTGACAAATTAGACTTTTTAGTGATGAACTAAAAACTATCTCTCACGGTAACAAGTTTTAGCTTCCTCACCACTTCCTTGTTGTTGTCAAATAAATACTCTACACGCAAGTTTGATCCATCAGTAAAAACATGAAGTGATGTACTACTACTCGCAATTGCCGCCTCTGAACCTAATTAAGGACCATAGTGTTCTCTGTTAGGAAATGATCAAGTCATGGCAGTGGAAAACAAAAATTATTTACAACATGGATCGTTCTTTAGAACCAAGATCAGGGCACAAACTTACAGTTTATACATTATATTAGAATCTGCAGAAAATTCAGTCCAGAGTTAAGAAATCATACGCACGTTTGGAGGCTCCTCCAACTTGTCTTTAAACGGGTTTGCTATCGACCAAAGAGTATGATCGAACCAATATAGTCCACACGAAGATAACCTCATGAAACTAAAAAGGGATTTGCTAGATCCTCTTTGGCCTTAAGAACCAAGAACAAATCAAGCAAATTTTGTTTCAAGCAAAAAGGCAATCTGGCGTGGGAGAGAAAAAGGGGCTAGAGGTTTTTCTTTTGAATGAAATAAAAGTAATTGAATAATTTCACAAAGTGTGCACTTATATAGTGCATCCTATGCCCTATTCCATCATGGAATGGGCTTGTGCACGAACCCAAACAACCCCTATGTCCAAACAGCCCCCATTTAGATATTTTAATTTTACTTATCATTATTTCAATTAAATTAAATTAATATATATTTTAACATTTAACAATAACGTAATTCATTTAAATATATGTGAACACATATTTAAACATAATTTCACTTATTTAATTTTATTAACAAATTAAATAAAGGCTACAACCTCATCAAATTTAATTGCACTATGAAATTACCAAAATACCCTTTAGCCTAAAAAGACGAAAACACCCTTCTTTCTTCTTGGCTCTTAAATTATCTTCTATGTGTGTGACCCATAGGCTCCTTATCATACCGGTAGTGTGTAGTATCGTGATTAACACCAATTAATCCTCTCACTATACACAGACCAAGATTGGCACCTAGCAAGGCATCATGGCCACCCGATAGATTCAGATTCAGCGAAGCAGCTACCTGTCAATGATATGGTTACCGTACAATCCAATCCTTTCATCATCCATTATCTCAACAAGATCGAGGCATAGAAATAGTGTTAACTTCAGTTACTCTCAATATGTATATATTCAGTTACTAAACCAATGACCTGAATTATAAACTAGATCGAGCAATAACTCAATCCCATTGTGGCTACAGTTTTAGTGTCATTGCCATTTACTGAATTGTGCCGTGAGATAACTTCTCCCATACCCGGGAGTGATGATCCTCTATCAATCCACGATTGTCTTGATACACTCTTTGATGCAGTCAATCACTACCATATTGACAGCTCTAAATAGAACTACGTTGGGCTAGTGTCAAATTGCACCAATCGGTGCACAAGGTGCTTCGGTGATCTCAAATCTAAGGATCACATGCACCACCATTCATTAAACGATTTGTTCCATGGACACTGGGGTTACCATCCAATGGAATCCTCTGGTGGGTTAGTCTAGTAAACTTGCCTATAGCAAGCACCCATGTATTGCATCAGGTTGTCACCAAACAACCTGGACAAGTGAGATCAGTCACTGCCTTTCGACAGGGTCGTTCAACACTATGATAGTCTTACCGTATTATCTGTGTCCTTACTTCAGAACAATATTGGGGCTACAGATGTTTCTAAATGGCCATCATATGTGCTCATAGGGTTCTCACTATCAAGATTTGAAACACTTGATACCCTCGTCACAGTTCTACCATTCTAAGGACATATATCAATATATATAGTGATGATTTACAGGATATAGAATAAAATGTCTTTTATTGATCAATGAACATTATTACAAAGAGTCAATTCTACAATAATCGATTGGCTCTAGGGCACCCACTCTAACATTCTCTTCCTCACAAACTACACCTTCTACGTAATCTATATTTATAGGAATCTCTATATTTGCGGGAACATGTATGGTGTCCTCCTTGTCCACAGTTTCATTCTGTCCTACATAACCAACCTCTTATACAGTGTCCTCTTCACCACCCAAAATCACCGCCTACTCTTGATTTTTCAACAAAGAAATCAATGCCCTCGTAGTTAAAATAAAAACCAGCATTCTCCACACCAACTTGCTTGTTCTCCCCTTCCTTTGAACCAACTTCCAAAGGTTTATCCACAATCAAAACTGTTAAAATCGGCCTTGAACCATCATCGACCATATCAAGCATATATAACTTCACATCTTCATCAGACACTAATACAACAGAGTGTACCTTAAAAATTGCAGGACTCTGCTCAAAACATATTTCACAACTATATCACTACATGAGCAATTCAACCCACCTCTTCTCATGATTTCATCAATCAAAACTTCTGTACTCATACAAATTTCTTTAACTTGTTTGCTCTTCCCAATCCACTTTCAACAACTTTCATCCTCCACCCACTCACCAAAATATTAAACACCCAAAACAACTTGTCCCATGTGTAATAATAGCCAAGTAGCTATAATGCAAGAAAAAAAACTTATTAACCAATATATTAAGGATTGACAAGTTTTAAAAAGCATTTGTAGAGTCGCTTAAGCGATTTGGTGTATAGCTTAAGCTATCTAGTATATCGCTTCCTGGATCGCTTAAGCAATCCAGTATATTGCTTAAGCTATCTAATATATATAAGTCTGATCGCTTAAGCAATCTGTTGCCATATACCATACTTATACTAGATCGCTTAAGCGATCTGCTGTCATATATCAGACTTGTATCAGATTTCTTAAGCGATCCATCAACTCCATAATACATTTTCAGTCATCTCCACCTATAATCAGTTTTATCACCCCTAGCTACCCACAATGCAAGAAAATCATTAACAAATTTCACTCATTTCAACTTGCATTATATCAAACACAACCCAAGAACTTAAACCACTAAATCGAAATCATAATCCAAACCCAATCCATCATTAAATCTTTGTATATAGAAATTTAAAATGGAAAGAGGAGATACACATACCTAGATGAAATGTCAAGAGGAGGAGAATGCGGATCTTCGGCTAAGAAGATGATAATTGCGGAGGAAGAAGAAGATGTTAATGGCGGCAGGGGGGAGCAATTTCTTTGATTTGGATTTGGGTTAAAATGTAACAATTTTAGGTTTTTCGGGATAAAGATAATTTTTGAAAGATTACTCAATGCCTTCATGAATCTTAATTAAGTCATGATTAGTGTTTAATTATGATTAATTTGTCTTAATAAATAAGGTCATTAAGTAAAGACTCACAAACTACATGACCTTTTAATCTTTTGCCCCTGATTTAAATGTAGATAAAAAAAAAAAAAAAAAAACCTATATATATAATCAGTATATTAATAATCATTTTTATCTGATTTTAGTGTGTAAATGGAGAAAAATTAACTTAATCAGATGTATCAAAAAGATACATTTAATCAAATAAATTAAATTAATGAAACCAAAATGTCTTTTCCTGAAAACGACGTTCATCAATATGATGCTTGACAACATGACTTTTAGTAACACTCTAATTTACATATTGTTTTATCATTGGCAATTGACATTTTCGATATGTGCACTAATTAAAACCCATATAATCTAAATACTAACTGATATGACAGACTCTTTTGTTATCACGTCAATTCTCCTAAAAACTTAAAAAAAAAAATTCAAAATTTCAATTATGAGTACTTGAATTAGTACAATTTAGTTAGTGCATATATCATTACTCCTTCTTTTATCATGACACATGATAGGTTTCGCTCTTATTATTTTACATCTTTTATAATAACATTTGGTATGCTCGATAGAGCTATTTTGTCCAAATGTGTCAAAATTGACAACAAACCTACGAAAATATTAAAAGGATTTATTTTTCACAAATACCCAAATTATTATTATTATTATTATTATTATTATTATTATTATTATTATTTTCTCATTACAAAATAAAAACCACATTTAAAAGTATTTTTCTCTTTAGAAAATGTGAAATTTGAATAATCTCTATAGAACTATATGATACGTTAATTTATGAACTTTGAATGCACTTTTTCATTTTTCTTATGTTCTTGCGTTTACCTTTTTTAAAAATTTTAACGAAAAAAAGAGAAAAAATTGTTGGAAAAAGAGGATATGAACCCCACTTTTTATGTAAAAAAATTCTTATATTTTATATAAAAATTTATATATTCCCTTTTCTTTCTCTTTAAAACAATTTCAAATCAAGATTTTTCGTCTTTTCATTTTTTATCTTTCCAATCATTTTCAATATTTTCATAAAAATAAAAAATCAATACACAAAATTCATAAAAGAAAATCTATATTTCTATTCTTTTTTAATCCTAATTACCTTTCATTTCTATTATTCAACTTATAACTTTTTCATGATTGTCATTTTCTATTCACTCTTTTTTTTTTCAATATTATAATTTTTATTCTCTCTAGTCTCTAATTCGCTCAAATTTACCGGGAACGAACGGATTTTCGTCTTTGAAACCTGACCGTTGAGACTCCGAAACCAAAAACAAAACGACAATCATCTCTTATCTCTAAGGAACGCATCGTCACCTTCACTACCCACTAATAACCCGTCAAGCTCCTCATCCATGGCGTTCTCTTCCACTTTCTCACCTACACAAAGCTCATTCTCATGCCTCTCTCAATTCCCACAACCCTCCAGAAAAAACCCTCTTCGTTTTTCATCCCTTAGACCCATAAAAGCCGCTGCTGAGCCCCCAAAAGAGACTCCTCCGCCGCCCAAAACTGATGGCAAAGACCCTACTTCCAGCACCACCGCCGTTAAGCCTGCTGCGGCGGCTCCGAAGCGCCCAAAGAAGCCTGTTTACTCAAGTGAGTATGAGTTCTTTGAAGTTATCTTCAAAATCTTTGATGAAAGAAAGGGTCGTTTGTTAAGGGTCTGTCTGATAAGAGATACAACAAATCTTAGGAAAATGCGTTTGATAGAACTGAGTTAAAATGTTTTCAAAAACAATCTTAAAAGCTAGTGTAAAATTAGAAAACAATTAATAATTCACAGTTTTCTATAGTTTTTAATCTAAAAAGAATTGTATTTTAGTTTCTGAAAATTATTTTTGGATCACAAATCAAACGAACCTAATTTTCTTCTAAATTTTTTTGTGTGTTGGCGTTTTGGGCAGTGAAGAAAGGCCAGATTGTAAGAGTGGATAAAGAGAAGTATCTTAACAGTATAAATGTAAGTGCAATTCTGTTTCTTGTTTCTGAAATTAAGGTCTCTTTGTGCTGAATATTTTGGTGTAAAAGACAATGAAACTTGCTATAAACACTAGTAAGTTTAGTTGATTCCGCATTTTTGGTGTAATTTCTTTGAGGGTTTGGTCAAAATCCTGATGAGAAATATTACATTGAGAGATGTTGTTCATAGCCTTTAATGTTGCCTTAAGTTCCAATTTCATTTTGATAAAAAGATCACCATAGGACTATTGCGACACGGAACAATGTCGTCGGAATATGTGACATATACCAACACCGTTAAGCATCAGCATATGCGACATAGCCTCTAGTGGTACCTTAGTAATTCTCCTTTCACAAATCAAATTTTATGCACTTTTTAGTATCCTGTTGATTTTATTTGAATTAATTCAGAGCTCGAGTATCAGTGGCCTGAGCTTAAATGGAAATCGTAATATAGTCTTTGGTTTGAGTTTCAGTACTTATCAGTGGGGCATCCTCCTTTCTACAAAGGTTTGGACTACATTTATGAAGATCGCGGTGAGGTGAGCTTGTTCATATTGTTCTGAATCATCAAAAAAATTTTAGTTCTCCCGAGTTAAATTACATGATTGTTTTACTTTTCTGATGCCTGTAATTGTATTACTCTTTCAGATTCTGGATTTACGCATTTTTGAGACAGGAGAGTATGCGCTTGTAAGCAATTTTCGAACAAATTTCTACCCAACTTTCACCACATACAAGATCAGTTTACCATTTGGTTCAAATTCTAAGAACAATTTTGTGTATATAGCCGATGTGAAATGATGCTTAACAATTTTAAAGTTGATCTTTTATATAAAGGGTTTCATCAAATTAAATGAAAACTTTAATCTTCTTCTGTTTCCAAGCCATATCCTAAGTTTTCTGTCGCTCAACATTGATAATAGAACACCTACATCCATTTAAAAGACAGAATTTGAATCAAGTGGGTACATATAATGCAGAATTGATTTTAAGTTACTTTGATTACAGGTTGCATGGGTCGGAATTCCTACTGCACCGGCTTGGCTCCCAACAGATATGCTTATTGAGGTAAGGCTAACAGCAGACTTCTTTGGTTTCTCTATATTGCAATAGTAAGGTTACCATAAACTAAGCCAAGATAAGCTGTCGACCAATGCTTGCAACCCCTTTCTCTTTAACTAACTAAAATCTGCAATTTTAACACATTCAAAATCTTTACTTCAATTCCTTGGGTTGCTCATCTTAGTTTTGTTTGAAGATAAATGGAACGACAGAGTTTTCATCTTCTTCTTATAGCTAGGTAGAATTTAAACCCTAAAAACAAGCGAATATTTGTTATTTGTCGTCTACAATTCCCCACATTTTGTTGCCTTGTATACTTTCAACACTTCTCAGACCTAATTGAGGAACCTATCTTTGTTAGAAAAATTTCTAAGCTTCTCAAGTTAATTTCAAGCTTCCTTTTCTGTACCTAACTTTCTGTGCTTGCCTCCAGTCAGATAAGCTCGATTACGAGAGATTGTGAACTCAGCTCCAGATGCAGAATTCTATCCTTTCACTGGTGGATTCTAAGGTTTTCTTGATGTGATGTAGTAGATCTTGGAGGTTTATATCAGCAACTAAGAAATCAATGTTTCAATAGAGTTGATTGTGTCATTCATTTTTAGGCTGCGGCCTGTGTCATACTGGGTGGAGCAAGAAATGCTGTATAATATATACCTTCACAAAATCATCTCAATGAAGCTTCCCTTAACTTGCTGAATCCGAAATTGAGACCATAACTCCATAAAAATATGTAGAATGAGATAAAATTATTGCAAACTGTAACCAACACAACACAACAGATCTGAGATTTATATATTTCAACTGAAAAGTTGTACACCAAGAGAAAAAAGGATAAAAGATAACTGGATAATCAATGACATGATACAATTATGATGCAATTTTATTATTTAAGTGAAAAAATTTACAATATAATTCAGTATTGGCTAAACTCACAGCATACAGTATGATGTATCCCTATTCGTAAAGAAAAAAGTGAAGGTATAAAAAAAAAAATTACAAAGATTTTCACCTGGCGGGCATGAAGCCATGAACAAGTGTAACAATGTGTTGTATAACCAGGCTCCACAACTTGTTGAACTCCGTCGGGGTAGCCAAAGAATGAGAGGATGGTAAGAGAGAAATGAATCAACTGAAGTTTGTCAAATCTTGGATTGAATTATTCAAATATGGTATATCTGTAACAAATGCAGAAAGATTAAGACTAGAACTCAAACCTCCTCTTGGCACGTTTATTGGAATTCAGAAGGTCTACTAAGGAGGGAAGAGGCCGAGGTACAGGCACATTCATTGACCTGTACAATTTTCTGAAGCTATTGTTAAAGCTCTTTGAAGAACCATCAGAAGAACAAAAAGAACTCTTATAAAATTCTTTCTCCACCGGCTTCCCACATTGCATTGCAGTGACATCTATCTCTACATTGTTTCCAAATTTATTATCACAATTTACTTTAGCATACGCCTCCCGGGATGAGAATTGTTGCTCTGTTTTATTGACAGTTATTTGCGGATGGTCATCTTTCCTGGATTCTTTTTTCTTTTCTTCACATGAACCAATATGGGAATGAAAAGAGATGCTGTGCACTCCTTTTTCTGACTCACACTGTCCTGCAGCTAAAGCCCTTTCTTTCTTGTCATCAAAATTATTCTCACAATTTACTGCAGCATTCCCCGCTTGAGTTGCAAATTCTTCTGCTTTAGTGACAGTTATTTGCAGAGGACCATCTTTCATGGATTCTATTTTGTGTTCACATGAAAAATTGGAATACTCAAGACTATATCTTGCTCTACCAAATAATGTCACGGGTGGCCTTTTGCCTGAAGGAGACAACCTCAATAGCTCTTTCAGACTAGAAGAGCTATTAAGTGGTTGCAATTCAGATTCTGCCGTCTTTTGGGTGGATGCTTGAACCACGGAAGCACGACCAGTACCTTCGACTGATACATCTAATTTTATAGAATCTTCCACACTAATGTCTAGAAGCTTCCAAAGAGGGTCATCAGAAGCTATCCGAACACCAAAACAGTACTTCCTAACATAATCTAACTCCATAGCCCGGCAACTGGGGGTTGTTGATATGACCCGTTTTGGAGCAAGAAGTTGCAGAGCCCACTCTAATTCCTCCCTGGATGAATGCATCGAGTAACAAACATGCCATACACCAAACTGGTCCCTCACTGCTTCATTGTATCTAAATTTTCTCCGACTAGGAGTCTCAGAATATTCTTCCTCACATGCATACCACTGTGCTGAAGGGCGGATAATGAGGGGCTCAGGCTGGAAATTAGCTTGGGCCTCAGCAAGCTTTGCACTTGCTCTTTCATACAGTTTAGGAAATCCATCAAACATCTGAAAACGAGAAGATGGATCGTCAGAGAGGATTTCAGGAACTGTGAGCATCAAAGACTGGAAGCATTCTGGATTGGCGGCTTTATCAACAAATATTTTGGACCCAAAAGTTTCTGATACAGCTACCAGAATCTCTTCCTGTCCGAGGAGGCCACAAGTCAGATACACCACTGATGCATCTGGGTGTTTCCATATACAACTGATTACCTGGTTCACAAACATAAAAATATTAAATGCTATACAAACTCATCTCGTCCAAAACTTACCACATAAGGAGCAAGCGTTTGACCTACAACAGAAATACATGAGAGACCAACTAAGAATACCTGACGAATTGCTGAATGCTTGCTGGGAAGTTTCTGAGAGAACTTCCCAAATGTGCAATCTAGGAAAACATAATCAAGTGGACAGCTTGGCGCCTTTCCTTTCTTTCCAATATATTTCTCTGGCAAACTTTGTAGGCACTCAGGTGTTAGCCTGCAGTCTCCAGTGTGCAGAATGGTGCCAAATTTGCCTTCAAACAAGAACATGACTGCTCCTGAAGTTTATATAATCCATGCCAGACAACAACTATCTGTCAATATGGTCTCCCATATCATTGTAGGTCATACATAAAAAATTTAAAATAAAAAGAGCCCCCTCCTTACAATATTTCATTAATGAAGCATGAATAATGTGCATATTTCATTACAAGAAGAAAAATTAAGGTAAAACATCAATGAATTAATTGCAGTTCACATAGATCTAGAGCAGTTCAGCACTGAGTGGCCTTCCCCTGAGTTCAGATTAGAATTATGGGAAACTTCAAAATTACAAACCATGGAAACAAAAATACCATCATGACAAAATCACAATAACTCCTTCCAACAGATCAGAATATACCAAACAAAGTTAAGAAACTTTTAAGTGCATAAGAAACCAAAACCTCTCCTCTAATGTGTACCACTTCTCAAAATATAAATGCATATGTTGAGAATATGATTCAGTTAAATTTGTACAACTCTTTCCATAATCATTTTGTACTTATTGCCTTAAGAATAAAGATATAATAAAGCTAGTCTTTAAATCCATGCAAGTACAGCTTGTTTAAACGGTAGCAAGAGTTCAAAGAAAACACATATTAATTCAACTCAACAATTTGAATTCATCAATTGTAAACTTTATTCAACACACAAAATTAGAGAAGGTGACAATCACCAGAATAACCTTCCATTCCTGGAGTCCGGAGGTGTACCTTAGTGTTAAATGAACCAAATATGATTTTTCTCAAAAAGAGACAAATATTTGGAGACATAAATCAATACTGTGTTTTTGCGTTAGACAGTCTGCGTGCTGATGAATTATGACTTGTCTTTTTGAAAAACACTTTGCTCAAGTAAAAACTCAATTCAATAATGTCTTCAAATTAACTCAACTGAATCAGAGCTACTAATGGGTACGGAATTGCATTTCTAAAGATAACCATGGACAAAAAACCAAAATAAAAACAACAAAAGATAAAAAAAACAATTACTGATGTCTATGCTACCAAAATTTCAATCACAAATATTCCTAAAACATATTATAATTTATCCCAAAAACATTTAAACATCACAACCACATTAACACATCATTATCAAATTCAACCAAACCACCAGCCAAATCAATCTCAATTCCAAAATACTCCCTTCATAAATCAAATTTATAAAAATAAAAATAAAATAAACCATCAATTACTTACCGGGGCAATGATTGGCATCGAAAGCTGAAACTGTAAATTCCCCATCTGGGTCATCAATAACCAACTTTTTCCCCACTTCAATTCCCAAAAACAAACCCTCATCAAGCTGCAAAAACAATAAAGCAATTACATACCTTCAAGAAACAAAACAAACAAAAAAAACAAGTGGGCTCTCTTAAATTCACAAACCACCCCAATGTCACCTCGAATCTCAAACAAATATTTAAGGTTTTTTTTTTTTCTAATAAAAAACCACCCTAAAATTGGAACTTTCTAATTTCTATCGATATTAATTCAAACCTGCGGGGTGCTAAGTGAAATTCTAAATTATAACAAATGAAATTCAAACCTTTGGGTAGTGCTGAAGGAGGAGTGATTTGGTAAGGCGGGTGGAGTAAATTGGGAATTGACAATGGGCGGAGATGCCAGAGGTGTGATCTTTATGGGCATGAGTTAAGAAATGGTGTCTCTTTCGCTTGGAAGTCGCGGAGAACGTGTCGACTGAGAAAGGGAGACCTTTGGGCATTTCTATTGGCATCTCTGAAGTGATTGAGTGGTGGGAAAGAGCGAGAAATTGAAGGAAAGTAGGAGTTTTTTTGAAAGGTTTGGATTTTTGGGTCAAAGCTTCTCAGGGAAGGAAAAGGAGAAAATTGGGAGGGAAGTTTGTAAATGGATAATGGCGGTACTACTGTAATTTCATATTTGTTTAATTTGAAATGTAAAAAATGCCCTCAATACTAATTACATAAAAGTTAATTTGAAATGACATTTTAGTATCTTAATAAATAAGGGATAAAAATTAAAAGGACAAAAACACTAATTCAAACAAAGGAAAATGATAGACTTACCGACTGGTGTGTACCGATTTTGTGCACCGAATGACGTGGTAAAATCCTGACCGTTGATTAATATTAACTGATAATAAATAAACGGTCAAGATTATGCCACGTCATTCGGTGCACAAAATCGGTACACACCAGTCGGTAACTGTAGCATTACTCTTCAAACAAAACCATCTACGTTCATTTAAAAAAACAAAAAATTAATAAGTTAGAAATATTTTACTCATCCGAGGTGAATGCTTGAGATTATCTAATCTAACTAGCTAAAAGAATTACATAAATTCTTGAGGTTATACTCAAGGTCAAAAAATGATACCAATCCTCGGTTGCATAGATTCGTCATCCCTCAAAATAACCACTAACGAGAATTAAATTCTTGGAATTACACTCAAGGTCAAGAAATAATGCATCCTCAACCAAATCGAAGTTGGAGAGAGTCCAATACAACAAGAAGGTTTTCGTATGATTTTCATCCAAAAAAAAAAAAAAAAATCAAAATAAAAGTCAATGAATACATCATATTTTTTTTTATTAATTTATTTATTTTTGTGGACCAAACTTTATGCCCATGCTTTGGGCTCATTACAGGCTCAATCAAAGTCTTGGGCCTGACTAGCTTTTTAGCCAGGCCCAACTTGTGGACCCAGATTTAGTTTTTAAATTTTTTTTTTAATGGCCTCATGTATTTATTTGAGATTGTAAGTATTGTATTATCAATTCAAGAATATTAAAAAACTAATAATAAATATGCAATTATTGTAATTACCTTATTTTGTTTATACAGGTAAAAACAAAATATCATTATACATATAATGAAAATTCTCAAATGTGAACACCTAGAAGGTTTTTATGTGTAAACCAAAATTCAATTCTAGTCGTAACTTTGATTTTTTGTGAAGCCAACAATTGGTATATATAATAAAATCATACTTTCAAATGGGATATTCAAGTTAACTTACGTACATCTCAATTAATCTTCAAGATTTATTAAATATCTTATAAACCCAAATGATCAAATAAGTCACAATATGGTAGGTGACCCTAAGGTTCGAATCCAGAAGGTTAATTAAGAAAACAAATATTTTTTATCGTCAGGCTAACCCTTTGAGATAATGTCTTGAAGTTTTTAGCGAGCACATTAAAAGCCCATGACTAATAGTAACTTTGATCTTACATTTGTGAAGACAAAGATTAATATTTATAGTCAATATCTTAGACACGAATATTCGGAAGTTTTTAAAGTATGTATCAAATACTAGCAACTAGTCATTGACCTTTAATCCGAACATTAAAAACTTTAAGATACCCACAAAAGATTTCCATATATCTTTAAACAGAATTACATTATTTTATCATGGATTTCCATCTACCCTTTGATTTTCTTAATTTCAATTATTTCATTAAAAAAAAAAAATCCCAACCCCTTCTAGAACAAGCAAAAGATAAAAGAAGTAAAACCCCTCGGGGAGATGAATCGAATAATTTCAATTATAATTCATCCATTTTCTTTCCCCCATAATTCCATTGACTTGAAAAAAAAAATCAAAATCAACAAGACATTTAGGTAAGTGTTCATATCAAAGACCTAAAATAAAAACACATCAAAATTTAATTTCATTGCATTTTGCATTAGCAGCCTTTCATTGAATGATAAAGCACACATTCAATGTACAACGTGTTTTAATCAATTAAAATTGTCCCACTTCTTGTCTTCTTAGTAATTTCTACCAAAACAATCTATCAACTGCCCCACCATGAAAATCCTACTCCACTAGTTTGAGACTTTCTTCCACAATTTCTTCTTTCTTTCTTCTTTGTGTTTTTTTTTGGAAAGATGTCATGTCAATACGTCATGACTAGTTTGAAACATAGTCTTGTCATGTTACTCATCCGGAAACATTATCTTTATCATACCGTTATGGGATATGTATCGATTCAAATTAAAATATTTACTAATAATGAAAACTACAGAAATTCTTGAATGAAACAAGATAACTGAAATATAGAAAGCATGATTTTGATTTTATTAAATAAATGAACAAATCACCTACAATGATTTACTTTCATTTCTCTTATGAAATTAATATGATCAATAGTTAATGTTTTGATTAATGATTCTGTGATACCATAAACTTTCTCAGAACAAAAAACTCATAATATTTACAACTTGTATAAGCAGTGATCTTTTATCTTATGCCATATAACCCATGAACTTGTATACAACATAAATGTTACAAATACATTGACCACCTTCCATTTACAATAATCAAGATGATATTGTTACAAAATCAAGGGACTCAAAGTCTCCCCACGCATCATCAAAAGTTTCCCAACTTGCAATGAATCCAAAGGTGGGAAAATGCTAGACATTGATTGGGTTGGCTCAAGATGCATAAAATACTAAGACCTTTTCACTACAGTGTGCAATTTGAGGGGAGACTGACTTGGAAAGACACTTGTTTCTTTGGTATTTACACTCACTCAAATGGGTCTAGTTCTTGGGGATGCACCTGGTGTTTGTGCTTTTAATACAGAGGAATCGAGCCAAGGGTTGCTAATGTATCTCGGGTTTGATCTCACCGGATAACCTGAGTAGTCACCTATGCTGTAGCTGCTTGGTCCTACTGCGGTGGTGTAAGTTGGGTGAGGAGGGGAAAGAAAACAACTCTTGTGTGCTGGTCCGTGTTGACGCAAGGGACTTGAACTAGGCGACACAGGCAAAGAGGTGATCATTCGTATGTTTTCCCTGCGTACAACATGATGGAGATGTTAATCTGAAAGTTTATAGAATTGGAATGCATTCAAGAGGATGCGAAAGGAAAATGTTGCTACCTTGGATTATTGACAGCTCTCGAAGTTGTGACCAGTGGATTTAATATGAAATCTGCATCGCATAAGGTGATACTTTTTCGCGTGGGAATGGGATGAAGATCTAAGACGGGCTGCAAAGAAAGTACAAATAGCAAAGCAATTAGCTTAATTCTGAACTTAGTTACTGACCTAAAACGAAAATACACAGATTTATCAATATGCATATGCCAATCATCCATAAAGCAGAACATGATTAGTATTCTTCCTTCACAGCCGTTAGAGAAAATGTTTAAGATCCCAATATGTACACATTCTTAGGGAACACCGCTAATGGAGAAAATTATTAAGCCAGGATAGGAAATAACTCCACAGCCTTGAAGGACAAGCTAATTTTGATCCAATGGCTACGCTATGAATCTGGGTAGCCACCCCTCTCCCTTAATCACCCAACATGAGATCCAAAAATGCATTCTGATAAAAGCCAGATTCATTTCTAGGTTGAGTTTACCCCCAAACCGGTTAGATTTCCGGGTAATTTTGACTTTCATGCTTTTACATAGAAATGAATTAGTCATATCAAGATCTCTTATTAAAAAAATTAGTGATATCAAGATATGGAGCATACGGCTGTAAGATTATCAAAAATCTCAGCCACCAGATTAGCAACACCCTTAGTAGAATGCACGATTGGCCTCATAACAACTCAATCTATATTAATCATTAAACCAAAGCCCCTGACAACTCATGGGTCGAATCAGAATTCAGATCAACTCAAGGAAGTCCAAAGGTAGACAAATACGGCTTTGTTTGCACAAAGTTTAGTGTCAGATTTCTCAAATGATAGATGAAATAACTTGAGGTCATTATGTGCATCCTATCATTCCCAAGAGCCAAATAGGCCGAAGCTATTTCTCAACACCCTTTTGATAGCCAAATCATGTACACTCCAGTTCTATACAAGCTTTGTAGAAAATAAAGATAAAAAAAAAAAAAAGCACTCAAAGCTCTGTTTTAGATGGTAGAAAATCCAAGTAATTCAAAATATCAGTAAAAAGTAAAGAGTATCAAGGCTATACCGGTGTGCGGCTTCCATCAAATGCAAAAGGAAATGAATCCTTGGCTAAGTTGTTGTTAGAAGCTCTTGCAGATGTCGGGTCACGAACAAATGGATGATCGAGCAATTGGGCAGCTGTAGGGCGTGCTGAAGGGTCACGTTGCAAGCATTGCCTTATAAAGCTTTTGGCATCACTAGAAAGGTGATCAGGAATTTCAGGAATATCTTTGCTGTTTCCAATTTTAAAAATTGCAGCCACCTGTCAATCCAACAATTAAATCAAATTTGGTTGTACAAACACCTTTAAGCTGGACATACAAACAAATGAGTTCCATATAAATAAATCTGAATTTTTTTATTTCGCACCCCTTCATATTGGCTCCAAGGTGGTTTTGACGTTGCCATTTCAAGAATTGTACATCCCAAGCTCCATATATCCACAGTGAGACTGTAGCCATTCGTATTCATTACAACCTGAGATTAGAAAATCAGGCATGACCATAAGAAATAGCATTTAGGTAAGTCATAGACACTAATCTGGATAAAATTAACTCGAAACAATCGTTTGAGTAAAAAATCATAATTACATAACAGGAAAAGAAAACTTTTCGAGCTAATTCTTCTGAAACAGAGAAGGGAAAGAGGAGGGAATACCTCTGGCGCCATCCAATAAGGACTTCCCTTGAAAGAAAGCATTGAAGAACAAGCAGTTATCTGACGCAAAAACAGGACGTATCAGTAGTGCCATCAAGATTAGCCAAAAGTAATGTCAAAAGGAAAAATATTTAATTACATTAACTACCAGATTCCATTGGTTATATACTTTTACAATTTGCTAGTTTCACTAGGAATTTATACATTGTATGCCCACATGCTGCAGGCAATTTTATAAATGACAGATGAAAAGGAGACTCTGGAACTCTCCATTCGATCTAGTGTGAGGAAACTAGACATTTTAATTTCCTTATAACCCATCTTCTAACCATAAGGATTTTTTCCTTGCAAAGTAACATTTATTTTACCACTTGATTCTCTGGAACTCATTTGTACTACTAGTCTGGAGTTCAAAAAAAATCAATACACCATGTTTTAGTATTATAGTGACCAGCTTTGGGCTAAAATGAGACACATACATGCTTGGCCATGCCGAAGTCTGCCAACTTAATTTCACCATGAGGATCTACTAAGATGTTTGCCCCTTTAATGTCCCTGCATGCAACATGACAATTTTATGAGAGGAAGAAGAAGATATACAAAGTAAACCATTCAAAGCCGTTACTTAGATTAAGACCAATGTACCTGTGCACTGTATTTCTTGCATGTAAGTAGGCAAGTCCTAAAAGAATCTGTCGGGTATAAGTTTGAATAACAGGTTCCCTAAAGGGACCATATTCTTGAAGCAATTTGTGGATTGAGCCACCAGAGACATATTCCAAATAAACTGAGAGTGTTTCATCAGCCTGAAAATGTGACAATCCACATTCAGTACAGAGCACAGTCCAATATTTCCCAATTGTACTGAAATAATAGAAATTTTGAGAAACTAATTTTCAATAATCCTTCTTCGTTCTGCACCCATATTTTTTATATGAATGTGTGTGCAACTGTGTGTGTCGGCGCGAGCATGCAGGCAAAGTTTTGGCATTTAAAGCTTTAAACTAATGCATACCAATTCACTTCCATAATATCGAACTATGTTTGGATGTGAAAGCTGACTGAGCAAGTTTATCTCCTGTTAACAATAGAACGATGAGTCATAAATCCATTAACCATCAAAAGATCAAAATTACAGCTTGTACATTAACTTCGAAGTCCACTTCTCAATGAGTATATTGAAAAATGAATGGAAATCAAAGCATCTGGCAAATAATATGCAATAAAAAATAGATTAAAACAAATTACCTGGTTTAGTTGCTTAAGAGATTCTTTAGATGACTGGTCATCAGAAATAACCCGAACTTCTTTTATCGCACACATCTGCCCACTTTCACTGTTAAAGTAAAACAACAATTAGAAGAATACAATATGAAACTTACAAAACAGCAAATAAACTGTCTTCTGTTATTCCTTTAAACTCCTAGTTCTTCGAAACAGTTGTCCAGATACCTTATAACATAGCCTAGCAATTCATGTAATATACACATATAACCTGAAACTAATCCACAAAATGTCCTACCGTTACCTATTAAATCCAAGGTAAACATGGCCAAAAGTCCCCCTTCCTAAAAGCTTTCCTTTCTTCCATTTAGACAGAGTATTTTCAATCGCTCCACTTGCTCTTGAGCTAGGCAAAGCAGAAGGGCTAGTAGGAGAACCTGGGGGAAGAGGCAGCCGATGACATTGAGATTTTCCATCTGTAGGAGACTCAATACTCACACCCGACAACCGTGCAAGCAGAGGCGACGTGGGGCTTGTCGGCCCTCTTGACCCAGGACCTGGACTTCTCGGCATCAAGTTGAACTTACCATCACCATGAAACCTTGGATCACCACATGACCTGTACCACGATCAAGCAGCAACACCACTTTAGAAACAAACTGACATAAACCTCGCAATGCTTAACCAACAACAAACTCAAACAACTCTCCAAATGCTTATTTTACCTTAATTACATCGAATTACAACCTTTATTAACGCACAGAAATCTCCAAATTTGTTAAGTCATTCATTCCCTTTTTGAAACCATTCCAATATGTTTAAAAAAAGTATAATCATCTTATTAGCATAAACCAAGTCCAAGAAGGTGAATATCAAAAGCCGAAAAACCCCATTTCTTGCATATGATTGGAAAGAGAAAGAAAAAAGAAGAACCCACTTCCCAAAAACAACCATTTCTGACAAAAACCATTGCACAGAGTGAAAGTTTGAGTGAAAAGTAACAATTTTTTCAGTACAAAAGGCTTGAAGGAACAGAACTGACAACAAATTTTGTTTGGCTTAGACATTTGGGCAATCTCCTTAGCCAAAGCAAACCCATTTCTGACACCACAAAATTCTAAAAAAAGAGAAATAAATGGATAAATATATAAATAAACCTAAAAAAATCCCCATCATTATAACAGCTCTTATAAACCCGCATCAAATCATGATAATTTTTTTTTTTTTTCTCTGTTTCTCATCTTCAACCAATTGAATGTATGAGCTGATTCGATCTCAAGACCTTCTTCAAATTAATCATGAAAAAATTAGAAAATTTTGATTTTAATCAGCTGAATTAACTTTAGTACCCACAAAATTGACGAAATTAAACAACAACTCCAGAGTTATTCGTTTAATTACAACAAACAATTAAACGAAAAACCAACCTATAACCACCACCAAATTGACCCTGATCACTTCCAATAACATGATGATCTTCAGAAGACCCGGATGAACTGACACTCGAGACTGAACCCGACCCGGACGCCAGCCCAACTCCGTGATCACTCTGCATGGAACCCGAAGGTGTCGGCAAAGGGTGTCCTTTCAACCCGGATGAATCCGATTCAAAACCCGAAAACCCGGACGACCCGGCTTTATTTCCACTCAAATCCCTGCTCTCACGCGGCGAATTCCTCACCACATACCCGTCATCGAAGCTCCTGGGCCTGTTGGGCTCGCTCTTCTTGCTTCTACTATCGTTTTTTTCTCTGCTCGATACCTTATAGAAGCTGTGAGTAGCTGTCGTTGAAGTCGGGTTCCGGGTCGGACTCGGGCTCTGTTCTTTGTGATTACTTTTGCTTGACTTTTTGCTCCACCAAGCAGGCATGTTTGAAAACTAAGAGAAGGAGAGGAGGAGAAGAAGGAAAGATTGGAGATGGGTTGAAGGGGGTGGTTATATATGAAGGGGAGGAAGGAGGGAGGAAAGGGGAGACGAGGGGGAAAGTGAAAGAAATGAGAAGTTGAAAGACTTTTTGAGGAAAGAGAGAGAAAGTGGGTGGGGACCAGTCAATTTTTTATTTTAATAATTATTAATTTATTGGTTTTTGTTTAGAGAGAGAAAGTGAGTGGGGCCCAGTTTTAAGTGTTTGGGATAATAACATTAAGGTACACAAGTTTACTAAATTAACTAGAGGACATAAGTTTCAAAAAATCAATTAGAGAATACTTAACGGTGTTTAACAATTATGGGTAATTGTACCATCACAAAATCACATAAATATCCCTAAAATTTTAAAAAAAAAAATCAATAAACAAATTATTTGAATAAAATTTGTTTTTAATTCTATTAATTTTTTTGTTTTATAAAATTGCTTTTTTTCAAATAATTTGTTTCTAAATTTTAGGGTTCTTTGGGTGGTGATGATTGATTTAACTGGGCGATTTGAGTTTCTTTTATGCCTGTTTGTGAAGTTGTTGACTTCTTCGCCTAATGTTGACTCCTTTCTCTGCTCTCTTATTATTTTTGTTGCCTGTCTTGTGGTTCTGAGGGTCTTTGTGTGGTTTTTGTTTTTTTTTTTTTTTTTTTTCTTTTTTTTTGCTTTTGCTTTGGATTCAGGAATTTGTGTTGGTTTTGTAAATCCTGCTCTTGTCTTGCTGTTTTCTTTTGACCCTTTGCCTCTTGCTAATTGCAAAGGATGAAGTGTTGGGGTCTTTCCCCTCTTACTTGTAATTCATTTTTCTTTTTATAAAATTACCTCTTACCCAAAAAAAAATTTAGGGTTATTTATGTCATTTTGTGATTACACAGTTAAATATAACCGTCAAACACCATTAGATATCATGACTGATATTTAAAAAACTGATGTCAAATTTGTTGAATTATCAATCAAATGACATAAATATCAATCAAATAATACTTAACGTATTTGATAGTTTGGGTGAACTTATAATCACAAAATCACATAAATACTGGTAAAATTTAAAAACAAAATTAAATAAACAAATGTTTTGAATAAAAATTATTTTTAATTCTATTAAACTTTTTTTAGTTTTAATAGGTCTTTTAGTTTCTTATATTTAAATTTCTGTTATTCAACTAGTTTAATTGTTAAGATCATTTATATCATTTTGTGATTACACAATTAAATATAATAGACCATATTTGTCAAATACGAAATCACATAAATATCCTTAAAATTTAAAAACAAAACTAAATAAACAAATTATTTGAATAAAATTATTTTTAGTTTTATCAAAAATTTTAACTCTAGAGGTCTTTGATATTTTTATATTTAGATTTCTTTTATTCAAATAATTTGTTTTTTAGGGTTATTTGTGTTATCTTTTATTACACAATCAAACAAAACAGTCAAACAACGTTAGGTGTCGTATTTATAAAACTTATGTCCTCCGATAGTAATTCAGTAATACTTGTGTGCCTCAATGTCATATCCCAAAGTATTTTGATAAACAGTGAGGAACAGCTAAGTGTGAGGGACGGCAAGAGGTGGTTGGATAAAGAAACTGTAATGACGTGGCAGCTTTTATGAGAGAGAAAAGAGGATGACGTGTCTTTTTTCTAAATTTTAACTTTTTTGTTTATAATTATTGATTTTAATTGGCGACAAATAGAGCGCGTATTTTCGTACGTGTGGGAAAAAGAGAATCCACATGGGTGAATGTGCCTTTTTCCTGAAAAATGAAAACAAGTAAAAAGTTTTTGAGAATTACCGGATACGTTTTTTCCATTTCCTGAATTTTGAGAATTTTCGGATTATATATTTTCTTTTATTTTTTAAAACAAAAAATGAGAAAAGTAGAAGATTTAATATATATTTCATATTTTTATGTTTGCGGAAAAAAATGATTGAATGTATTTTTATTTTCTAATTTTTTTTTTAAAAATTAAAAACACTTAATACCGAATTGAACAAGCCCTATAATATAGAAAATGTTTCTAAATTCAATTCATTTTATTAAGAAATATTTTCTTAAATTTGTTTCTATGGTGACCAATTCCATGCATAGTTTTCTTACAAACAAACCTTGTTGGTCCAGACATACATTAGGAGTCTTTTATTTACAAAACGAAAAATACTCTATTAAATGATATATACGGAATAGATAATTAGTATAACATGCATTATCGAATCAAAAACCTGATTTGATAATTTGACTCAATTTTTAAATTCAAATTCGTAAAATAAGTTTAAGGACCGTATGAATTATCAAAAAACAATTAACCGCTATAAATCAAACCAATAACTAAAAGGGCACAATATTTCATTAAAATATTAAGATATTTAAATTAATCCAGATTAATTTTAAAAAATTAATAGTAAAAAACAAAAATAAAAAGGTGACAAAGTTGAAACGCCGCGGAAAGAGAGAATAGAAGCGTGTGGCGGGGGTCAGTATCATTCTCGGATTTGGATTTGGTATTTCACTAAATAATTATTTTTATTTATTTATTTTGTTTGATGAGCTGTAAATTATCAGATGCGATCAAGACTACCCTGTTTGTAGTACACCATCAGTGCGTCACTTGCCGTGTCACCTGTACCTTTCACCAACGTCACAAATGAAATTTCTAAAGTTTAAAGAATAATTAATGAATTAGTTATTTAATAACATTAATTAATGTTGGATTAATTAAATTAATAAGCTGGCAATTAAGGAATAATTGTGCGTTAATTGTGTTGTTAAGAATATTTAATGAGGCAGGCTCAAAAGTTCATTTATTTAATGGTTTTGAAGTAATATTAATATTTTAGAAAATTAATATTGTCCATTTCCTTTTTTAAATTAGGCATAAAAGAAAATCATTTTATATAAATATTAAATAAATAGTTAATGAAAATGAAATTAATACAACTATACTATATCATTTTATGTAAAATATTGTTTAATAAAATATGATCCAAAAATCAACCAATAGAATCATGTTCACGTATTAAATTAATTAATCACAATTAAATAAATAATCCCAATGTTTAACTTGTAAAGTGTGCAATTAAGACATTAATTAATTAAAGAAGCGTGAGAGATATTAATCAATCAATTTATCAATAGTGAGTGAAGTGAGTTGACGCCGGCGAGTTGGTTAATGTGTTTTGTTTGGTAGCGGAGATTATTTAATTCTCAACCACATGTGATTAATTTAATTAAAAATTTTGTCACCATCACAATTATCTACGCAATTAAAACATTATATTATATCAACTTAATCCAACAAAACCGTGTATAGCTTGTAACATACGGGTGACAAAAGTTGGTACCAAGGCTTTTTAAATTTTGAAAATTTTAAGCACCCTTTCTTAATTTATTTGATAAAAATTATTAATTAAGTATGAAAATGATATAGGAATTGGCGATATCATCTATAGGTCAATCTCCTAAGTAGTTGATAACGTCCAACACGTGACTAATGATATCAAAATAAGTTTAATTTTTGATTTATTGTATAAGTTCACTAAACCAGTTACAGATAATATCATAATTGATCTGATTGAGAAAAAAATTTACGATACCACATTAGATAGTTACCGATCGTATCAGCATGACGATTATATAGATTTCATTGTTAGATAGATCTGAATGAATAAAACAGAATAGTATTAGAGTATACAACATCACCCAACATCGTCTACTATGTTAATTATCTAATACCAACACAATGTTATTATCAGATTAGTACAATTTTTGAATTCATAATTCAAAATAAAGGTTTTTATTGAAAAGGAAAAAGGATCATTGAGTGCCTCTACCCTTATTTCAAATTATTTTAATTATTTATATTTGTACTTTAAAAAAAAAAAAAAAAAAACGATTTTCACAGAGTAATCGTTGGCTTGATTTCAATTTAAGCTAAGTCAAATTTTCTGTTTTATTAGTTCCTTAGCTTTTAATCTTTTATCCTTCAGTATGGACGCTTTGTTTCTTTTTTTATTAAGAAAAAAAATATATCGAAAATATCCGATAAAATGTATTTATTAATTGGTTATTACTAAATCCAACAAATCCTTTATTATTCACAATTTTATTTAAAAAGTCATATTTGTATTTATTTACTCATTTCTACTATTCTTTTTTTTTAAAATAAAAATAAAAATAGACTTTTCTTTATTGATATACGTAAAATATCAAAAAGAAAAATTAAAACTTTTTAATATAAAATTTGTTTACAAAAATTATGTCTTTTAATGTTTATTAATAACAATGATAAGGGAGTTTAGCCGCCTAAACCATACAAACCTTATAAAAAATCAAACTGAGATAGAGTCTTGTTGTATTACATAATATTGATTAACTTAAATTATGTATTACCAAATTTTACTTATCTTTAAGAAGTCGTGTTTAACCATGTAAAAGTTTATAAGGGGATTAATAAATAAGATGCATAGAAACTTGTAGTTTATTAATTAAAATTAGGATAAAGAGTGAAATTTAACTCTCTAATTTATATTTTAAAAATAAATAGTATGTTGGACTCTTATTTTTATGGATAAACTTTTTATGATAAAGAGTTTAAATCATATAAATAATTTTTTAGACATACTTTAAATCTTTAATTGCTCAACTAATCTCTTATGGATTATGTTAACCAACTTATAATTAATAAATCATTTACTTTATTTTTTTTTAGAAAAAATAATATATTTGCAACTTGATATGTGCACAACTGGCCTCGTATGGATCCGAAACATATTTGCAACTTGACAACTTGTGGTGTCCACGTGTCACTTCACTCATTAATTAATATAGGCCCCTAGCCTCTTGGCCGTTCCACTATTTATGAAAATTATTTGTTCAAGAAGAATGCTTATCCATTACGACCATATATAACGATAATAATAAGCATAATAATGTTATTCATTAAAATTAAATTTTATTTATTTTTAATAATTATTACAGATCATTTTTAGAGATTTTGTTTTTGATTTTTTTAATAATTTTAAGAGATATTTAATAGGTTTTGAAAATTGATG